GTGGCAGGGCCCAAGAAAAAAAAAAAAACAAACCCAAAGAAACAGAGATGGAGTTGACTTCTGCACGCTGGGACCACTCTGGATCCCTCCGGGCACCGTCCCACCGATAGTGGGAGATGTGGTGGGAGAGGAGGTGAAGAGCAGCAAGGCGAGGAGCTCTGCGAGGTCGGGTGAGCCCAGCAGCCTCCGACACCGTGGGCTGGGGTCACTGCAGCCATGGGTATGGGCTCAGGTTGGGGGTTTTCTTTCCCCTGAGCCTTGTTGGGCTTCCCTGGCTGCATTCACCTAGAAAGTAGGGATATCAGGAATGCGCTTGACCTCCCTGCAGTTCTGAGTGGCTTTGTGTGGTTTTGATCCTTCATGCAAAACGCTCGCCCTTAATTCATGTGTGCCTGGGTTTGGGGGTGGGCGAGGGGCCGCCTGTTTGTCCTGTGGGTGCACTGATGGGTTTGGCGGTGCCAGTTCTGTGCTGGCATCAGCCTGGGGGTGCTAGGGCTGCTAATGGCAAGGCAGGTCCAACCGTGCTGGCTGCGGGGCTGTCCCCTGCAGGTGGTGGGAGAGGGACTACCTGTGCCAAGGAGGGGAAAGTTCACTGGGGGGGGCGTCTGGGGGTGATAGGGGTGAAAGGTGATGGCAGGTGTCAATTGCTGTCCCCTGGGTCCCCCCCGCACTGACCTTTCCTCCAGTTGTGGCTCCGCTCTTCACCCCGATGCATCATCAGGGCAGTGAGGATGGGGGCAGGGGGTGAGGCCCCTCAGCAGCTCAAAGGCCCCATTTTCCCCCCTTCTGCCCCACACGAAGCCCCACAGCTGGGGGGGGAGGCCCCTCTCCCCACTGCCAGCCCTGACCTGGGGGGCAGCCAGCCGAGGACTTGTCTTTAGGTTTCTTCACCCGTCTGTCTTGGGGTTGTGCTGGCAGCAGCTGTGAGCCACCAAACTCCATCCTACCCTTGCACAGGGAGAACAGACCCCCTTTGTCTGGGGGTGATGAGGGCACCTGTCCAGGCTGACAAAGAGCCCCTTGACTGCGCCGACAGCCCGGGGCTGAAGTCCCTGCACATCCTCCTGTGGCCTTTTGACTTGGGTTTTGTAACAGGTTTCCCCCCCCTGCCCCCATCTTTCCCCGACTGCTGCGGGTGGTGGTTCCTGGATGGACTTTTATCAGCACTGTTGAAACGGTGCTTTGCTGGCAGGCCCCGGCCAAAGCCCCCCCGGTCAAATTCCCCGCGGGGGCAGAAGGAGAGGTGGGAGCCCGGCTGGTGTGGGGATGGAGGGGGGCAAGCTGGGGGATGCCCTCACCCTGGGCAATCTACTCGTGCAGTGAGCTGGGGCTCCTTATGGTCCACCCACCCCTTCCCTGCCCTCGTTGGTGTGTCTTGGGCAAAAGGGTCACCCCAGCCTGGCCCCGTGCCTGCTGGTGGCAGGTTGCCCAGCAGGACGTCTGGCTGGGGCCACCACAGTCGCTGGGAGCGAGAGGTTGTGTGCTGGATGCTCAGGTCCCTTCCTGACATCAGGACTTGGGGAGTTCTTTCTGCCCCTGAGGCCCTTTGAGCCTGCTTCAGCCTTGGGGTGTGATGGGAATGCTTGCCCCTGGCTTGCCCCTGGCATTACCCCACCCCAAATGGGTTGCTCCTGCCTGCCACGGGAAGGTGAGAAGCTTCTTGGGTCTCTCCTCGATGGGGAGCTGTGTTCTCCAGCCTAGGTCACCCCAGCCTGGCCCAACGCCTGGCTTCTGCCTTGGATGGAAGCCCGAGGGAGCTGTGTTTGGATAAATGGGAAGATACAGGGTCACAGCGTTAAAGATGCTGAAGTCGGGGGCTGTCATCTCCAGCACGTGTCCAGAGCCGCAGCCACTGCTGTGCACAGCTGGCTGGGCTCGTGGCCAGGGCTGCAAGTGCCAGGGCTGTGGTCGGAGCAACCTGCTGAGGAGGTGGGACTTGGAGTCATCTTTTCAATTGCTGTTTCCTTCTTCCGCAGAGCTCCCAGAGGATTGCCACCAGCTCTTCCTGGCTGGGCAGCAAAGCAGTGGCATTTTCCAGGTGCAGCCTGCAGGGTCTCAGCCCTTCAAAGTCTACTGTGACATGACCACAGGTAAAGCAGTGGAGATGTTCTGCAGCACTTTGCACGGTGGTCTTGCAAATGGTAACCCCAAATAACTGTGTTTTCCTTGCTCGCAGAAGGTGGCTGGACAGTGATCCAGAGACGCACAGATGGCTCTGTGGACTTTGACCAGCTTTGGGATGCCTACAAGAATGGCTTTGGAGACCTTCGTGGTAGGTGGATGACAGTGTCTATCTACTTATCATGGGATAAGTGACATCTTAGCACAGGTTGTTCCCCCTTGCTGACCCCTGGAGATCTCTATGTGGTGGAGCACAGCGTTGGGCTGAGGAGCGGGGGGACACTGCTTGCAGAGCAAGAGTCCTTGGTCTTCCTGACTTGTCCTGCAGATGCCAGGCAGCGATTCAAATGTTGCAGTGTCCTGGGTTGTCCCTCTTTGTCTCTGGAGCCTGCTTTGCATGGCATGTTCGTGTCTTGTTTCATGCAGTGTGTCTTGTTTCAGGTGACTTCTGGCTGGGCCTGGAGAAGATACATCACCTTGTCCAAGAGGGAAGATACAATCTCCTGGTTGAGCTGGAAGACTGGGAGGGAAATTCCCAGGTGGTTCAGTTTGTCTTCAGCCTTGGTGGTGAGAGCACAGCCTATACGCTTAACCTGCTGGGACCTATGTCTGGAGAGCTGGAGAATGCCATCGGGGACTTCAGGCAGCTGCCCTTCTCCACTCGGGATCGTGACCATGACCTCAAAGCCGACACAAACTGTGCCAAACACCTCTCAGGTCAGCACGAGCCCTTCCTTCCCAGTGGCGTGCACTTTCCCTTCAGCTCTCTGCTGTCTGGTGGTGGCCGTGAGTGGGACGGGGACCTTGCGGGACCAGACCCCTTTGGTGTCGGGCCTGGCTTATCCTCCGCTTCCCTGGGAAAGTGGTCTCCTTGGGAGGAGCCATGCAGGGAACTGGGAGGGAAGCTGGAACCAGGAGGGGCTCATGATTCAGGTCTTGGCACAAGCATCTGTCTTCGTAACAGATTTGGTGGCTGCCAGCTTGCTTGGAAACCTTTCAAGCGAAGCAGCGGCCAGTCCCCAGGCCTGAGGTGGGGCTGCTGAAAGGTTTG